GATCTCGTCTTTAGACGTAAAATTTATCAAATTTTAACCACTAGTCGTAACGAAAGTTAACCGTAAAAATTTATTTTTAACCGTAGCGGAAAGAAATTAATCGTTGGCCGTAAAAGGGGCAAAATCTTAATCGTTAGTAGTAAATCGTTGGTAGTAAAAGTCGTCGCCCCATTGGGATCCTCTTGTGAGCGTAATTAAACCTTGAAAAACGCCAGCTAAATTCGTTAGCTGACGCTATCAAACTCTTAAACATAACAGGCGTAAATACTTTATCATTGACCTTGAATGCCAGATGATAATTTTTACCGGATATTAGCTGGTCGAAGGAAAAAAACCTCTCTCTTATCGTTTTTATTTTGTTTGCATGCGGAATCCACATGGAACAAAACATATTTTCTTTATAAGTCTCGGCAGAAAAAAAAAAATTTTCCAATTACCTGATATGGTGCTGCGCTTAAAAAAAATAGTTACATGGCCGTAACGGAATCTTTTATTACGATCGAATCAATTTGATTCGTCCTTATTACTTGATGGCAATGATAAAAAAAACCAAAACAATTAGATATTTGGGCTATCTTCAAGGGCGTTGCAAAGGATGGGGGTTTCCACAAAGCTTTTACCCCCCTCTGTTATGGGAGCGAATTAATTTATCATAACAGAACATTCGGGTATGTTCCTGTTGAGCAACTCCGCCTTCACCTATGCTTGCCTTAAGTTTTGTTGCCAAGAATTTTAACGGTACAGCTAAATCAGAGACCATTTCTAAAGGAATCTCTCCACCACAATTCGCATCGGCGTCCATGTAATACATTAAAATGAAGCATTCAATATTCTGCAGACAGAAACTATATCATGGGGATCAAGATAAACAGCAGAGTGGCGCAACATTTGATCACCTGATATGAAATCAGCAATGACGCTACAATGGTCAACTACGAAAATCTTGTCTCAAATGCCTACAATTCTTTATTTGCCAACAGAGCTTAAAAATAGCCTTAAAACAAATTTCATTACAAGGCGTAGCGGTACATTCATACTTTCTATTGACAGCAAATTATGTATGTAGTCACAAATGAAAATTTCGCAACATGTCTTCAATATTAATGTACTTTCCTCCTTAAACTGATAAGGATTTAAAAAAGAGTTCTAGCAAAGCCTTTTTTTAAAATAGCATTTCGATTACATCATTCCTTTTAATCCACCACAAGACATGTATGCATCATGATTTTCTAACAATATAATTTTCCCAACTAGGGCACAGAGGCCCAGCGCAACGTTGCAACAATGATTGATCCAACTTACCAATGCTAATGTGAACTCTAAATGTAAATTTAAAATTTGAATAAATTGGGTAGAAAACTCAATTATCCATCCTGTGTTATTCTACCAATAAAAACTTAAAACGATTTACTCGACAATGATAAATATGTCATTAAAAGCAAGATATATCAATATGCCATTTTGTCATTGGAGTGCAAAGTTCAGTTCACCGTTTCTGCTTCCCCTCGATCTTTTCTTAAAATGTAAACATTTTCCATCTGTTCCTCAAGCTTCTTTCATCTCCCACGAATTGGTTTGAAATTCAACTCTATTCACTGAGATCAACTCCGTCACTGCGTTTTTACCCCCGCTTCATCTAATGACCAAATATGGTCACGATTCCACACCAATATATGCAGCACGCTTTCTGCGTGGACCCGAGATGAAAACCCGTTTAAAATCTTAGACCCATTCTTCTTCCTGTTCGGCCAGCTGGTCTCTCATTTGCTTCTGGTACAACGCCAAAAGTTCATTCCATCGATTATTGCTCTGTTGATCAAACATTTCCAAGCTCTCGCTTCTGCTCCTCAGTCTCTCCAATTGATGCGACAGAATATTTACTCCAGTGCGAATCAGCATCGAATTGACGTCGTTTAAACTTCTTGTAAACGTTTGAGTCGCTTTCAGAGGCAAGCGCTTGTTCAGCGAAACACTTCTTGATCGTAACATTCTCACACGTCTATCAAAGGACCTCATTCCTGAAACATCCCTTTGTCTCCTGATCATAGAGTCTGGAGAGAAATAGATAACTTCCTCTAAATCCGTTGACCAGTGCACTTTTTTTCGTTCCGGCAGCGGCATTTTCTTCTCTATGAGAGTAAGTCTGGAAGGTCTTCCCGGTAAGGATAGTGATCTTCTCGACATTTTAGCGTAACTGGTTTTCTTTTTCTACTCGGAGCCGTTTGATTCTCTCTGATCGTCGTATCCGACGCGTCTGCGCTCGTCAACTGGGCACGCCGTAGTTTGTTCTGTGTTTATCAGCAACGGAGCCGCTTTTAATAAGCCGTAATCTGGCTAATTTCCATTCGCTCGTGTGTGGTTGGCGTATCACAAGTCGGCTCGCCCCCAAGCGCTAAAAATAGCATTGTTAACTTCCCGCAGTAAACGAATCACGCTTCTGTTTTTCTCTCACTTGTTAAGTCTAAGCTTACAACCTTCTAGATTGAGACTACAAGAGAAAAAAAAAACAATATTCTGTTACTTTTAGTAAACATTTACTCTCTCTCTGATTAGTTGGGTATACGAACCGTTTTGTATTCTTCTACGCGTTAAAATCTACAGGTGTTGAGTACATCAATCGCTCAATGTCTCTCCCACCTCAACATCTTTACGGTATATACTCCTTATTCAAGGGAGTAAGAAAAAAACGGGCTGAAAAATATTGAGCGAAGAACAATATGACTTCTTCCATAAAACGGGTAAAAAAGGCCTGTTTGACTTAATAATCATGACACATCGAAAAATATCTCTTGATCTTATCGCTCGAAAAAGTAAATTCTCCGTGGTTGCCATTTTAAAAAATTCATGAATAACAAAAATATTATTCGCTGGCGTGGTTTAGGTACTTTAGTCACGAAAATTCAAGAAAAGTCACGTATTGGCGAATCACCCCGTGCAAAAACAATTATTCTAGAATGATCCGCTGGAAGACTTACAAATGAGTCATCACTGCACGTGGGGTAATTGAAATTACATTTCTTTTGACATGAAATGTAGCAATTATGGAAACAAACATTTGCATAGTCACGTTTTTTAAAAGAGTAATGATTTTGCATTGAAAAAATCGAGAGATAACCTTTTCTATAATTATTTTACCATTTTTTTTTTATCCCAAAGCTTCAATTGCATCACTGAGTCAGGGAATCTTTAATTTACTTGTGCTCAACAGCAGAATGAAATGACAACTTGCACACCTTTCATATCGTTTCAATTCTGTTTTACCTTTTATGGTCTCCAAACAAAAACAGCCAAACCATTTTATGACATTGTTGAACCTTAAACGTGTTTTTGTAAACCATGTCACCCTCCAGGCCGGGCGTACCAATAGAAAGAGAACAAAATATTTATTACTCGAAATAACATGGAGTTAAACCATAAACAAAATGAAAAACAAACTCGATTCTTTAGACACGAATGCGGGTCAACCCACTCTGTTTATTCTGTGCTTAGAACAGCTATCATTTATCCGTATATATTTTCTTAATGACAATGCTCTTTTCAAGGGAGATGTGTACATTCGCAGTAGGTTTCTTTCGCCAGCCATGACTTCCCTTTACACCAGCTGCAGTAGAAATTACATTTTCACGTTGGCACTGATATTTTTCGTAAGATTTGTACCAAAGATGCCTCAAAATAAGGATACTTCGTTTCATCGTTGGATCACTGAAGTAAACGCTTAGAAAACCACGCTATAAAAGAGACAATTAAGAGAAAACCGTACTATATGGCTTTACTCTTGTGTTCTTCTCGTCAATTTTCTTGTAATGTCCCTGATAGTGCTGCTGCAACCCATTCTGGTCTCAATCTTATCCTATCATATTCTCACGTGTTTTCATTAAAATGCCACGTGCTTTTGTATAATCGAACGTCACTCATGAACGAGTAATTCTACCCAATCATAGACGTGATCGTGAGAACTGGCCCTTATGTTGTAGCAGATGTGGTCCAGGCGCGCAGAACGTGTTGCGTTGACAACCAACCCCAACGGAGGTCAAAGAACATCTGCGTTTCTCGACAATAGCAGCAACTTTTGGCGACTGAAACACTGTCCTTGTAAAATTCATTTGCCTGGTTTCTTTTTCTTCGTCTCAGTTTTTCCATTTTGTTGCCGAGCTTCAACCTGCCTCAAAAATTAGCAGCAAAAAAAAAAAAAGATTTAGCGAAAGGAACGCTGCCCCTACAGGGCAAGCAACTTGTGAGAAGCTGTGGAAGAGCCTGTGTGACCCAAACAGACGTGCAATTCCAAAATCTATATAGTGTTTCATGCGTACGCTCCGCTTTCTGATATGTCTGGCTAAACTCGTGCCTCTATGTTAACCAATAAGGTAGAAGCGGCTCGGTGGTCTTCCGCGTTTTCCCGCGCTTTTACTTTGAGTTCTCAGAGGCTTCTCAGGATATTTGTCTCGGTTCTTATTTGGTATTGGTGACCACTTTGATTTCGAAAAGCACTTAAAACTTTGGCAAGAAACGATTAAGCTAAGAGACTCTGTCATCCCCCCTGGAGTGACACCGCAGAAATTTCTCGTTGCAAAATCAATGCAATATCAAGCAGAGGGCAGATGGAATACAGAAAAACATCAAACAGAAGATATGAGTTTTTTTTTAACGCCAATTCTAAAAATAACATTATTAGAAAGATATAGCATGCGATAAGGACAATCAGTCTCGAGGGTTATTTTTAAGGTCACTCTCATTTTCCGAGATGCGAGGACCGCATAGCAACCATTTTCGTTTCTCAAATTTTGCTCAAAAATTCATAGAAAACCATTTTTTTTTAAAGATCTTATTTTATATCTTACACGTCCTACGTTAATTGACAGCCCGATGGTAGACAAAGGCAATCGATTCATTTTGATAACTCGTCTGTTGTTTCTGGCATCCTACTTAGCTAATTCGAGCGCTTAGCACTTAGCGCTTAGCGCTTAGCACTGAAAAGGATAGGCGCTATATAAATATTTTATTATTATTATTATTATTCGAAAACAATTAGAGATATTCCAATAACCTGGCGATAGATTTTACTTTATTTGAAGGAGACTATCAATACATCTTTTTAAAGGCCACAGTTTCTGTCACTCACAGTCTAAGTTTTAGGTTGTTATTTTTCACTTTATCGCGTCAATACTACATATTAGTTAGGACCAGACAGTATTTTCTATCCTATCAGTTTACCTGCGTAAAAGTACATGTCGGATGCTGGAAGAAAACAGAAAAATTCAGTGTGAATAATGAGGCTTACAAAAATTTTCTTTAAAAAAGATTTGAAGCTGTCAGTTTCCCAGCAACTAACTTGCACAACAAAGAAATGTTTTGATCATTCAAAGAGCGCTAAGTGTTTCAGTAATGTTGTTTAAGATATATGATGTACATTATTCAATTTAAATAATTTTTCTGTTGTTAAAAAAATCTAAATTTGAGCTCTAGACTTTTGAGCGTCATTCCTTAAAACATGACCTCATGCCGAAACTGAATAAAGCTCAAACTTTTTCATTATGTCCAACCTAAAAATACATGTCTACCATGTCAACATGAAATTTTGTCAACATATCATTTCACTGGACTGAACCGGCTCAAGCAAGAAAAGCAGGTTCACTTTTGACATTTTTATCTCTATCAGTCTTGTTGAAGGAATCAACTAAAATTTTTAAAAAGTTTAGTCATTATGCACGATGTTCACTATTTGAAAGCTTTTATACACCCAAAATTATGCCGGCATAATTTATCTGACCCTAGCTAAAGCAATAAAATACCTTTCATTGTTTTACTTCAATAATGAAATAAGACTTGTTGGATTGTTTGATTCAAAAGTACGCTGGCTAAACCTGTGCCATTATAACTCGTTTAATTTACGATTAATTTACCAGAAGTGACCTTTAGCATTATTTCGTTATGGTATAATTTAGCTGACGCCAAGAGCAAGAGCAACACGCATTGCTTACCACAAATTCTATGGTCAAAAAGGAAGGGTTAAAATTGAACTTTTTTAGCGGAAGTTGAATTCTACAATTACCATCAATTCCTTTTCTTCACTGGTCCAATTGCAAAACGTTATAGTCTTTTTGTAAACAAATTCCAAGTAATTTGAACACAAGATAGCCACGAAATTCTCTGAACCGTAAAATATAACAACAACGGAACCTGCACTTTCCAGCATTTTGAGAGATAAAAATATAGCCACATATAAATAACGAATAGGGAAGGCGATTTAAAATTAATTATCTCAGGTTGTAGGAGGTTGATTTTCTGGAGACGTTTTGTGGAGTTTCCGCAGGATGTAATTTGTACCCAGAAAAATAATAGCACAAATATCATCTAAAATAGAACTATGATGTAATTGTTTTGAGTTCGATGGAAAAAACGGGCGAAATTTCTTGGAAATAAGGAATAAATAATGTCTGATAGTTGAACGAATATCGTGTAAACATAACGAAAACACTTCACAAAGAAGAAATAATAAAAACCTGGTCAGGAGATATTTTCATCCAAAAAAAGGCAGAAAGTTCAACGATATTCGGACTTTGTTTTCAAAACGTATTCTGTGCTGATGGGAATCTAAACTGAAATGAAAGTACTACAACTGTAGGTATAACAGCAAGATTGAGATATGACTGTCCTTGAAAGGACTTTTCAAAGTTCGAAATTGATCGGTAGCTGTAAGGAATTAAGACTTGTTATTAACATTTACTATTACGAGCTCTTTAACAATATTCCCTGTTTCCAAGAAACTTCAGTTTAGGCAGTACACTTATGCAAAAAATAAATGAGTTATAGGCCAATCGCCAATTAATGTTCAAAATTATGCAAACTTAAAGCGATGCACCACAGCAACAATAATTAAGCTGATTCTCTTAGGGGCAAATTCGTATTAAGTGAGTAAGCCAGGTATTTTAAGCCGTAAGATTTCGTCAACAAAACTTAAAAAATTATTTTTTTGTCGGTCATGTCAAAATGTAAAGTTCATTTGTGCATGTTAAGTTTCATGTCTTTATTCGTGGGCGCCATGCTAACGTCATTACAGCGATGTCTTCCGGTGATCGAACAGGTGAAAAGGAAGAACTCTCAATGGCCCCGTCCATGTTTTTAAAATTTGTTTGTCCAATGTTTGTGACGAGAACAAATGATCTGTCTTAAAAAGCCATCCACTCGAATTGTTTATTTTTAGCAGCCTATAGGATTTGTGTAACGCAGCGGTCCTACGATCGAACGCTGAACCGCTTTGCTTACATTTAAAAGTGATCGATTGTGTTGATATAAATTCAGTTCCTCGGTGATCGCCTAACAGTTGAAACTCTACTTGGCAAACTTTCATTTGAAAAGACGATTACAACCACAATGGAGCTATCAAAACAAGAGGCTGAAGAACTTCAAAGCCAAGAACAGGAGGGTGATTTTTCAGAAAAGCCAAGAAAAGTTCGATGGTCACTTGAGCTGGAAGAGGTGCACTATTTTGTTCCATTGCCGCAAAAGAAAGACAGTCGATGGAAGAAGACAATTAAGTGCATCAAGGAGAAGGCGCTCGATTGGAAACACAACCCACTCATGCTACTTGGAGACGTACATGATCGTAATAACTTGCACCTTCTTAGCACCGGTCTTGTATTTCTGACAAGAAAGGTGAACAACCGTTCTGATAAAGTGGATTTTGAAGACATCCGCGACATCAACAAATACTGGGATGAATTGTTTGAACTGTATTCAACGCACGAAGTTGTATCTTGCGACGAAAATAACAGCCGGAACTCTAAGTTCGTTTGAAAACGTTGCTGGTTGAAAGACACCGGGTGAATTGAGAAACTGTGACTTGAAGTTGTGATCCAAACCCTGAGAAGCTGACGGTTGGCTTTTGAGGAAAAGAAGGAAAATACTGGAGACGAAGTATTTTACTTGAGAAACTTGACAGAAACTTTGTTCAAAGAAAGATATACCAGAGGAAATGTTTTGAATGTCATGAAGAACTGCACGTGACAATCATAAAATTCAACAGTTGAATTAAACATGAACGCTCTGAATGAGGTTTTCGAACAGTTCGGTCTGCAAAAAAGGAACGATAAAAATATCATTAAGTTAGGTACAGGACAATCCAAGAGCTGAGAAATTACAATGTTGGAAAAAACCACTTTGGTTTGTAACGACAAAAAATCTTCAACGAATTATTTTATTTTAAACATTTGTAACATACATGTAAATATCTCGATTCAAATTTTTTGAAAATTTAATCTCTGTTGCCTTACAACCGCTGTGATAATCGTCTGGTGGTTTACCTAAATATTCCCATGTATAAGTTGAATTTTTTAATGAAAATAAACCTTGGGATTTTTTTCTTTACAATCTTATGAAGTTATTGAGAGTATTTAAGGTCATTATTTGGATAAGATCGATCACAGATGCATAATTTTTTTTTCTGTTGCAAACGTCTCCAGCTTTGATGTAGTGCATTACAAATGTAATTAAAAACTACTACAGTTTTTCTTGTCTAATTCATGATGAAAACGGCTCCAAATGTTTCACACAGCTTTCACTGAGTTTGTTTTGAGTAAAGAAGGAAAAGAAACTTGCTTTTTAAACTTTGAATCCTGAGTGGAGATGCCCTAAACTTTAATTGTAGATATCGGTTAAGACAAACGTAACCTAGCCCTAAAGTTTGTCAGCTCACACCGTTTGAATGAGAGGCAGTAAACTGCCGTATTTTCAAGCCTTGAAGCAACAAATAAACTTAAAAGAACATGAAGGAAGCTTTTATGAGTTAACCGTTATACTTTTACGTGAAAAAAAAAATATCTCTCCGGTTGCCTAACTGTTGGGAAAATTTAGTTGTCTTGTTTCACAGCCATCTGTTTTATTGGTCACGCACAATTCTAGCTATGATCGTATGTTAAGTCAGAAATTTTTACATTATCAACTAGTTTTAACGTTTTATAAGCGGCTTCTTTCCTGCTGTTTTAACCATTTATTTTATCATTTATTTCGTTGGAAAAGAATTGTGAAAACTTGTTTATAAACTAGACCAAAAGCAAAGGCAATTGTTGGATCCCCATCAATTATGAAGAACTCTGCGGAAAATTGTTCCCAATTTTGTTGCCTACCGTAAATGACAAAACTGGATGATGATATCTAGTCATTATGGAATATTCAATAATGGAGCCATGAACACATTTCTTGTTGATTCTGCAAGGAAAAATTGGCGCATTGAGAAATTTTCCTCAACAAGAAATGATAAGGTTTAGCATGGCCTGCAAGTGCATTAACTGAAAAAGGCACGTGACTGAAAAGTTAATTTTACTGTTGCTTTCTAAGGCCAGCTGATCGCAAAATAGCACGGCATATCACTCCTATAAAACTCGATGGCAACTTGCAAAGGAAATTCGCTTCGTGTGACATTGAAAAAGTTGGTAAAAAAATTTTGGACCCGCGAAAGTATTTTGTCTCCGATATAGGTCTCACAAACTCAAAGTTGTTCCAAATTGTGTTTCTGAACTAACAGTACTTTCGCAGCAGTGTGCATGCGCGCATAGCCCAATCTTAGAATCAAAACATCCGCCCCTGAAACATGCTCATTATAACCATGAGATCGGTCAGCAATGCTTCTCAAAGAAATAAAAGCAAAATTTTAAAGAAAATCACCGTTACGCTTGAATTTTTCAAATTTTTAAGGGTTTGTATTTGCTTAACGATGTTTTCGTGAACATACATTTATTTTTAATCAATGCAAACTGATCTCTTGAAAAAGAGTAAATACTCTTCATTTAGGTTTCGTGGAAAAAATTGGATCTCTCCTGCAGTGGCGAAAGTACTTCGTCTTTTTATATCGCTTGCGAGAAGTAGATGATAATTTTCTGCAAACTTTCCCATTTTATCCTCTTAAAATCATATTCAGATGCAAAAACACCTCAAGTTTTTAATATAATTACCTTCAGTGACGTTCTGGTTTGCGATTAATTAATTTGTGGCTGTCTTGTAGACATCACCGCTGGGTTTTTTAATATATTCATAATTTCTTTTCGAAGAAAAATAAAATAATAGAAGGATCAAAACAAAACATATTTTATCGTAAAGGAATCGGGACATGTTCTATTGCTCAAATTTAAAACCTCCGTCTATTTCCAATAACATCGTTTTTTGTAATTAACTTTTCGTTGTTGCTGAAAAAATGAAAACCGGAGGTAGAAGAGTTGGCCTAAGAGTAATTTTTTATATAAAATTATTTTTAAATGCTAATATCACTGTTTTACTACACAAAAGAAATTGTCAATTGTAGTCGCTATTATGGATCTGTCGACAAAATCATCCAAGCACATTTTTTATTCTTTCTAAGTTTGAATTTGCAGCGGAGAGTTTTTCCTCAACAAAACCTTCTATTTGTGTAGCATTCTGTCCTCTTATAAATAATTTTTTTTTGAGCACGGTTTATATTCATCACAAGTTACGTAAGACTCAGAATTTAATGAACTCGGGCAGGCACGTGCAAGTTGAAGCAGTTACATAACTGCTGCAGTTACTGTCCTCCTAAAAAAAAAAAAAGAAACGGCTACCATGCCTAAATGAATTTTTCGGCAAATAATCATACGCTATACTTAAAAAAAAAAAAATATTTTCAAATAACCCCTTGAAAAAGGTGTCCAATGAGTTTGCGTGGCTAACACCTTATGCATTGATAGTAAGAATTATCATTATTTGAAAGTGTGTTGAAGACGCTTCAGATATATACAAATTGTGACTTTTTTTTTGTTTTATGCGTTCACGTGCCGAGCATGAAAGCGATTTTATTATTTTGAAAATTAACTGGATTGAAAGTCTGCTAGTGATCGTGATAAACATAAATAGGAAGACATTCCTATAGATAAGAGTTGTCAAACAGACAGAAACTCACTGAGAAATAGCCTAGAACTTGTAAATCTTTTTAAGAGGAAAGTTAAAATTGGCAAATGTTACAGAAAAGTGTTTCGTGAACAACTGTCAGTCACACCGCCATAAATACATGCAAATGAGTTTAAGAGTCAGCAAATAATTCAAAACTTAGAGATGGGTGGGAGAATCTCTTTAAAAATTACGTCAAACAATACACTTTTTTAAGATTAACTGGAAGAAGGTATGAAGCAGTGTTCAAAACGACTATCTCAGATGATACTTTTCAATTCGGTTTCCATTTACAAGCACTAATCGATACTAATGTTCCTTTAGGCTTAAGTATTTATTAAAATTCGTGCCAGCAAATGAACAAAAACGTACTGTTTACTCAAAATTCAATTGAAGCTTTTACCTTCCCTAAAACAAAATATCAACACCTTTAGCAGTGAAGAAACCATATAACTGTACGTATGACGTTTCATTAAAATGGTTGGGTGCCTTGCGCTTTTCTGATGAGATTTGTCCTTACTTCGAACTCTCCCAAATACATGCAAAACTTCAGATAAAATCGCATTTTGACAACCAGTTGGTTTCAGTCTTTCCGAAAGGTAGCCTACCAAAGATACATACTGTTAAAAGCCAAACTGGTTTCTCTGGAGTTTTTCGACTCTTTTGAAATTACTTTGAAATGTGTTTGTACGTGTTTGGCAAAATTCTCGACGGCTGCAACATATGTGATCAAAATGAGATATGGCTTAATTTTAAACTCAAGTAAAGGTATCATAGATACTTTTCCAGCACTCTTCTCTCACGGTTCACCACATCAAAATTAGATACAGAATTGTCGAAAAAGGTTTGCTCTGTGCAAAATCCAAGCTCGCGCTTATGTTTTCTATGAATTGTTTTGTTTTTCGCGTTTCTTTAAAGATGTTCGCGCTAAAAAAATAACGATAATTCAAAATTTTGAATTTAGCCTTCAGGAGTACCTTAAGCGTGACCCAAACACCCTATTTTTCATATAAAAATATCTGGTGTGACACCTTTGTTATAAACCATGATCATTGACGTTCCAAAAAAAAAAAAAGAAAAAATTAAAATTTCAGACACACCTGAAGATTTTCCAAATTCAAAATCATATTCTGAAAGGCGGCTGTTTTGACGATAATCACATAAACTCACATGCTCTCCAGTGAGAGCCAAGCTTCACCTTACAGATATGTTCACTGGGTCGGTCTCAGTCATCAATTCAAAACGCTTTCCTTGTACCATTTTAATTTTATTAGCAAAGAATCGCGTCCTTGGAACGTGAAGTCGCCTCACGCAACGACTTTACAGTTCCTGTTATGTAACCTTCATCTCTCAAATAATTCTCTTTTAATTATATCCGTTTTTTTTCCTCTCTCCTCAATCGCCCATAGGTGGCCATTTTGGATCTCCTGCAGCGCACCCGTTTTGTGGTTCTCTTTTCGTTTTGAAGATAGATTTAGTTTCTTAAAGTAAAACGTGATTGTTTCCGTTACAACTGACTTTTCAAAGGGAAATTCTCCTTATTCATTACCGGTGGGTTAAAAAGCTATTACCCAGTTTAAATCAAATGTAAATGAAGATCAGGGAGATCATAACATTATTGAAAGTTGATTTGCCAAACACCGCACAAGACTCAAATTTATAAATTAAACATTCATTCTTTGATCATAGCGAAAACTCAAAGTGACATCTTTATTTTAGGTTATTGTCTGGCATTTTATTGAAGTCTAACCGCAAGAAATGTAAATGTCTATAAGTGCTTCACAATTAACTGTCTGAAAACCTTTATCATTGGTTTGGTTACTTATCATTTAAAGGTGCAGCTGCAAGTGTCCGTTACATAACTGTCTGAATGCTCGTGAGTTGACACGTGCCGTTAATAAGTAACTATAATATAGTTACTTCTTAAAACACGTGCCTACTATGTAACTGAGTTATGTAACTGCTGCCCTTTCTGTACCAGTGTACCTTCAGGGAAAGGGAATTCGAAGCGAACATCTTACCTTTAAAAAAAAAAAACAGACATATTCACTATACATCCAGAATGCTTACCTTGAAGGAAACCGGGTGAAAAGGAAAATAACTCAACACTAAACAAATAGCCGCTCAAAATAAGGGCACCACCCAATGTTTTAAAGTAGACTCGCGTGTTAAGGCGCGCATCAGAAATTGATCTGATCTTATTATATGCTGCCACTTTGTTGGATGCTTTCGTTTTGAAAATATAGGGTCAAAAATAACTCAACCGGCCCCAAAATATCCACAGGCTTTGGGCCTTAGGTCACGTTCACTCTTTTGGAAATGTAACATGAGAATAACATATTTACAGACGTTATTTACATTTGACCACTCCAGGTGTCACTGACCTTTCAGGCATGCGTAATGAAGACAGATTGGGTACTTAGGAACTCAATTCGGGAAAATTTGTTGCCAGGCCAAGCGAAGATTTTTGAGAACGTTTTTAGGGTATTTGGTGATTCAGTATTTGGAGAAAAATGCTTGCTTCAAAGGGAAGGAAATTCTATCACGTCTGTATTAGTACTGAGCTAATTACCACAATCAAATATGAACAGAAAATTCTAGTGACTGTAAATGAGGGCAAACTGAGATGAAGATGAAAAAAGTCAGTTCAGGTCTGATTTTCGCTATTGCATAAATAGCGCTCTCTACTGCGAGGATCGTGCATCATACTTATCTAATACCGCAGTTCAAAATATATGAACTTCATATATTCATTGTATCTGATTTATCATCACGGGTTATTACGAATCAACTTAACGGCCTGCTCCCAGTTGGCTTGTTAGTTCAATTGGTAGAGTGCTGCACTAGTATCGCAGAGGTCAGTGGTTCGAATCCCGTACAGGCCTGATTTTTTT